ACCCGATCCTCGCACTCCAAATCTGCGACCCGGCACTCTATGGCTCGATCGTCGAACTGCCAGGATTTGTGAGTATAGAAAAAGTTATAATACATCGCGCCCTTTTTTTTTTTTTTTAACGCTTTTGTTTCTTTTTTGTTTCGAAGTCCGTGAAAGCGCGTCTCCCGGCACGAGCTCTTGGCATTAATAGTGCTACGCCAGCATTTTGCTATCGCCCTTTTTCTTTATTTTCTCCTGAGACGGCGTACAGTGGTCATCGAGTACTATACTCCGTTTCACACTTAGCGTACAACGCTATTAAAGCTACTGGCGCGAGCGCGTGGCTTCATCTATGGTTTTGTTTGCACAAGAACCCGTGCAAATGTTAAACGAGATCAAGCCCCACGCTCGCGCCAGTAGCTTTGACAACGTTGCACGCTAAGTAGGAAACAGAGTATACAAAAACCCCAAGTGCAAAGCTAATTGTTAACGCTATGACGCTGCCTAAAGAAAGAAGAGTCTCGAAAAGTCGTGCTTTCACGTTCTCCGTCGAAACTCAAGAACAGGGCTAACGCCGAAGAAACCCTTTTACTTCTAGTTCCTATACTGGTAAGGAAAATCATAAGACGTACTCGGAGAACACTGTAGCGGCACCCGTGGCCCCAAGAAACGTCCCAGCGGAGTCTGCAGACAGACATATAGCGTTCGACAACAAAACTGACCCGTCAGCATTAGGCGTGAATACTATAGCACGTGCGAGTAAGCGAAAAACCTCCCTTGCAGCAATGTGTACATGGCCAACCCCCATCCTATTTCCTCCCCTCGCCCTTCCTCATCCCTGTCCTCTTTTTTTACTCTCATCCACGTCCTCCTATTCCCTTGCCCTTATTTTATAACCCTGGTTTTGTGACCCTAAATGTAAAAGGATTTACCTCCTAAAAGAAATAATATCATTTGAAACGTCTACTTGAACCCAACGAGGTAGACTTTCTAGCCATACAGGAAACAAAACTATGAACGGTAGAACAGATAGGAAAAGCTATACATCATTTCCTGTATGACTACGTGGTATGCGCTGGCCGTGCTGTAGGTATTTCCGCTGGATTTTTATAGTTTATTAGGAAGTCTGCTCATTTGTCTGAAGCAGCTGTCACGACAGCCCTTTGCGGATGCTTCATTTTCATTTTGTGCGACTTTCGAGTTTCCGGCATATAATATGGATACTGATGTGCGTTCATGCGCCGAATGAGATGAATGCCAGAGTATATATATATATATATATATATATATATATATATATATATATATAACTCTGGGCCTCCCAATGTCCGGTCGGGTGTGCTAACCTCTACACCACTCGCACACCCGACCGGACATTGAGAGGCCCAGAGTTAAAATCCTGGCTTCGCCGATTTTTGGCTTTCGGCGGGTTCCTGAAAACTTTGATTCTTTGATTCATTGGATTAAGTACGGTTCATTCATCTGCACATATTCGTTCATATCCTCCTCGGAGACCACGTACGATGGTGTGAAGTGCCCGTGTTGTATATTCGATAACGTGGCTCTTGAATCTCGCAGATGATGATGATGATACCGTGTCTCTAAAGCTCATAAACAAAGAATACTGCATGTACACGGCACGAGACAAACAGTGGGAGGATTTCTGGAGCACAAACGAGCACGTACCACGTGACACCAAGCGTCGTACCGCGTTCCACGCGGCGGCGTGTGTTTCCAGAACACCTCCGATTGGATACATTTCGTTTCTTGTGCATTAATAAGACAGGTAGGAAACGCCAGAAAGCCAAGGTGGAGTTGTGTAGAGGTTAGCACACCCGACCGGACATTGGAGGCCCAGAGTTCAAATCCTGGCTCCGCCGTTTTTGGCTTTCAACGGGTTCCTGAAAACTTTAATTCTTTGATCCATTGGATTAAGTACGGTTCATTCATCTGCACATATTCGTTTATATCCTCCTCAGAGACCACGTACGATGGTGTGAAGTGCCCGTGTTGTGTGTATATATATATATATATATATATATATATATATATATATATATATATATACATATATTTAAGCAAGAACTAAAACAGTAAGTGATTGAGAAAGCTATTATTATTAAAAATTCCGAAAGAAAGAAAGTACATTGATAAACAATATCTGTGTCTTGGTTCAACTTGAATGTCACAGCTCTCGGCATTGTTTCGAATATATTATCCGCATAAAAGCTGAGCTCCATAAAATACCTCGTGAGGGTTATCAAGGCAATGTAGGGGGAGAAAAGGTACGCGATATCTGAAGAAATTTAAGAGATAAGGCAGAACAATCTGATCATAAAGATAGCGAAGCTATAACCAAAGTCTTTTTTGAACAATACAAGATTATATTCGGTGCAAAGATTGCCTCCACAGATAAAGCATATCCAGAGGAACTTGTAAAGTTAAAAAGAAAACAGGACCGGATTTTATTACTGCAGCATTTTATAGATTTCGCAAAAACGCATTATGTCCGATCTTGCAGGAGGTTTTTCAAGAAGCCTACAGACACAAAAGTCGTCCGCCCTCCATTCTTTATGCACACACTAGTCGTATTATAAAAACATGACAAAAACAAACTTTTGCATGTGACTGTTGGCTATCGACTGATCACATTATGCTACGTGGATTATAAAATATTTGCAAAAAAAATGAAAGCCGTTTACAACTCCCTGTAACGCCGAATTAGAGCGCAGTTCTTGAGGAGAAGGAGGGGAAGGTACGGAGAGGGGGCTGTGCCCCTCCTCCTCTGCTGCTCGCCTCCTATTTAGGGGAAAATTTTAACAACATTGTTTACTGGAAACTGCTCATTTTTCTGCACTCCCTCCCCCCTTTTGCTACGCCACTGCCCCCATCATCTAAGCACAAGACAATACACGTCGGAATTTGTACACTGCTCTAGTTTCTCTTTTATTTTTTTTTCATTCGTCGATAAAAATATTTAATCCTACAAAAAAAAAGTATCGCCAGAATTTTTATTTCATTTTTTTTTGGGGGGGGGGGGAGGGGGGAGGTCTGATGTGTTTGGGATGTCCCTGAGTTATGGGGTGGGTAAAAGATCAATAAAAGAAAGTTCCCCTTCACCCCACACACACACACACACACACACACACACACACACACACACACACACACACACACACACACACACACACACACACACACACACACACACACACACACACACACACACACACACACACACATTGATCGCCCGTGTCCGATCCCTGAGGCGCGAGTACCGCTTAATCTTAAAACACCGCTGAATTCCGAAGATTTCGGGATAGTGAGTGATTTCGAATTAAAAAGCCCTAGTAAAAGACAGTACGTCGTTTGCTTCGCGAAAAATTGGGTATATATTTTTCAATCTAATTTTAAACACGAGTGGAAATCGAAACCGAAACTTCGGCTCCGTCCGGCAACATTGGCCTCGGGCCGCCAAGAACATGGCCATCACGTGGTGCGAGATGTCACGTGATCCTCGGCCCACTGACGGGTGGGATTGGGGCGGGCGTGTGGCATGCGCGAGTGTCGTCTACACCGCACTCTTCGCCACGTTTTGGTGTCTACGGCATTCGACGACGTCTGCACAACTGCGGCGTAAGTCTGTGCACGTGGTGTCCGTAGTGTGGACGAAACTCCGAGAGACAATAATCACAAATGGTGAGACGACGACGGTGGTTGTGACGCGGAAGACGGCGGTAACGGCGGGACCACTGCGGGCGGTTGGACGGCCCCCAAGAACGCGCTGCGCAGGCGCGTTACGCCCATCATGTGGACACCGCTGAGCGCCGAGAGGCAACGTTGCTGACGTCATGCGCTACGCTCGCCTGGAGAAGTAAAAATAAGCAAAAAGGGGCCATGATGATGACGTTTAGCTCAATGTTGGCTCCGCCCATGCCGTAGCCTTGACTGCGCTGTTGGTTGCGCCTGAATTCGCCCGCTCGAGTCCGCCGATTTTGGGCAACTGGGCCAGTTGCAAAGTTTGCCGGACCGTTTAAGAAACATTTAGACGGAACTGCGCCGTGATATTTGACGTGCGGTCTTCCTAGGCGATACTGAAGAGGACTGCATTGTTTTTTGTTTTTTTTTCAAAACCAAAAATGAAGCGGAGTTGCCCTTTAAGTGCACCACCCAATGCTATTTTTTTTTAATGAAAGCAAAAACATTTCCTTGAAATTATTCTAATTCTGAAACCAGAACCACCAATATTTCCATTGACTCGTCGAGGCTGCCAGCACGGCAGTCCAGTGTCATTCATTTCTGCCCCAGTCTCAGGTTTATTCAACATGGTGTTCATAGCGTTCATACTTTCCTGCGACAAAATCGCGCCACACGCGGCCCGCACCTCCGCACTCAATCCGCACTCACGCACTCGGAGTGCGGATACAGTGCGGATAGTCACCATAGTGCGGCTAAGAATCCAAAATTAGGGGTGTTGCGAACCGGCTGAGGATCGACTTCGACCAGGTTCGACTTTTTCAAACTTTTAGTGGGAATTTCGACCGCCTTGTATTGAGGTTCGACTCGAGTGCGCATGCGCGATAGTTTGGCTAGTTGGCTTCGGACTTCGCATCGCAAAAAAGTCGGGTCGAGTAGCGACTGCTCAAATCGTGTCACTTTTTGCCCGCGATGGTCGCTTTTGCGATGAAAGTTATCGCGCGACTAGATGGTATCGGCAATGGGAACGCGCCTTTATAGTACGCTCCGCTTCACCATAACTAGGCTAAGGGTGAAAGCTACTGCCCCCATGAGCCAATTAAAGTGACCGAGCAAAGTACATGACAGCACTCCACGGGAGGAATGCACGACGGCTACATTGTGATGCAACTCGCTCTGACTGTCTTGCGGGGCTGCAGCGTTCGGTTTTTTCCATGTTATGGTAAAACGGTTAGTACCTTGCACTATGCTATTCAGCAACTAAAAGGTTTTAAAAGTGTCATGAAATTGTCTGCACTTATACTTTCTTTATCTTGATTTGTTAGGTCTATGCGGTGTAGCAAGGGCTGCCCACCAAACCAGGGAGTAGCACCTTAGACCATGCCCACTCAGCAACAGGTATGTTCCGATTCTGGTGTGAAAGTTGCGTGCACTCATCTCTTCTTCACCTTGGTGCAGCAATGACCTTGTCATGCCAGGGACGAACACCTTATACTACACTACTCAGCAACAGGTAACTTCCAAGTGTTGCAAAATTTAACTTCAATCAAACCGGTACCGTCTCCAACTTGTTTTCTTAGGACCATAAGGTGCAGAGAGGACCTGCCCACGAGGGGGATTGTCACCTTACGTATGCCACACAATTACAGGTACTTTCTGGGTGTACTATGAAATTTCCCGCACTGATACCTTCTTTGGCTCTTTGTTAGAGCCATGAAAAGACAGCTGCAAGATGACACAGATGGTTTCCCAATGCGTAAAGATTGAACACCAACCTCCGAGATGAATCAGAAGAGTATGGCCACTAGAAGCACCTGCATGGTTCGGACACGAGTGTAGTAATAAAACCATATTGCCAATATAAATTGGTTCAGGGTCGTACTTTGACTGGTTACAACATATCCAGGCAAGAGTAGAACGGATTTAGGCATGCCATCTGAAGAACAAAATTGCACGTACGTCGGACATCCGCAATGGGATCTCCATTGCGGATGTCCGACGGACGTTCAATGTCGTTCACTTGGGCGCTCTGTCGGATGTCCTGGGGATGTCCGTCGGATGTACACGGATGTCCCGCGGATGTTCGGTGGATCTGAATTGGATCTCTATCGGATGTTCCCGGGATATCCGAAATTGGCCTGCAGAGGGATCCCATTTCGGATGTCCAACGGATGTGCGATTTTGTTTGCTTTGGCGCCCTGTCGAATGTCCTGGGGATGTCCGTCGGACGTATATGGTGCTCGATATATCTGAATCGGATCTTTATCGGATGTTCACGGGATATCCGAAGAAATTCTGCCCAGTAGAAATTGGCTCAGGTTAGTGCTTTGACTGGTTTACAACATATTTGGGCTAAAGTAGAATGAATTCATGCATGCCATCCGAATATCCGAAATTGGCCTGCAGAAAGATCCCATTTCGGATGTCCGACGGACATGCAAATTTGTTACCTTTGGCACTGTGACGGATGTCCTGGGGACGTCCGTCGGACGGCTACGGATCTCCTGCGGACGTCCGAATATCTTGAGCGGATATCTGTCGGATGTCCAATGGACATCCAGTGGTTTGTTGGGAACAATCATCCATCTCACACGTGACATGTCACGCGCACCAATTGCCAAAGAGATCTACGGTCACGTTGGCCCCAACATCGTTTAAACTTTCTGTGACTAGGCTTCACCAATATTGCAACGTGCCCTCTCCTATACTCCGTTTCACCTTATGCTGTACCGCATGCAGCGAAGGCTAGAAGCGCGAGCTCATAGCGTTGGCAGCTGCCCTTGGTGCACGAGAGCTTGTGCCGCAGAGATGTGCCCTAGAGCAAGGAGCTCGCGCTTGTAGCTTTTCCTGCGAATCTCCTTGGTATGGTGCCTGGAACGCGTCTCCGACTGGTGTGTTTACCGCGCCCAAAAAAGTGATCCCTCGATTTCCGCCTGATGACGTCATGCAAGTGTCATGCTGTCGTCGGTGGCGATCCTGGCGGCGTCCCAACAGTTGTGGTCTGTGTAGCAGACGCCTGTTCTGCTGTAGGTCGCTCTCCACTGTGACAGTATGGTGTCTGGATCAACGTTAGCCTGGATCGCGTCTTTGACTGGTGTGTTTCGCGTCCTATCCCGCCCATACATCAAAAGTGGTCCCAAAGTGGCAACAAATGACGTCACAGAAGCCGGAGTGTCCTGCTCATAGAGTTATTACAATAAACGCTAGAGGCTCAGCTGGCGCTAGTGTCTACGAGACTTCCGGTTGCAAATTGAAGCAGACAGCATGCAGTCGTCCTGTGTATTCCTATATGGGAAAACGCGTGTGAATTTTGTCTCGTCGCCGGGAAATAACATGAATAACTTTTGTTATTTCGGTTGTACCGGCAGGGACCCCGGAACCGGGGGGGAAACGGGGGCTTGAGCACCCGCTGACATTTTCCAGGGGGTGCTGGGCAATATGCTGAGCCCCCGTGCGTTTGGCTGGAGGCGTACTGAACAATGCCTGCACCCCTTCCCCCCTCCCCTCCGTGTTCCCCTTGCTGCTCATCTCCGCCAAGCCACGTACTTGGCTAAGGGCAAGCAAGTGGCTCTCTGTTGTTACGGCTGGTTGCCCACCGACAACTAACCCTCGCCCACAAAATTCCAGAAAAAAAAAAAACGAAGTAAAGCGAAGTGTCAATAAACCTCGGACGACGCGACAGCTTCAAAAAATGGTGAAAAAAAAGAGCCGGCGCCTGGGGCTTGCATAGAACAGTGAGGGAGTCTAGGGGTGCCTTCATGTGCGCACATGAAGGCTCCCTACCCTACTCCACACGCGGGTTGGCCATGAGGGGGAACGCGCAGCGCACTGTTTTTCTCCACACAGCCAGGAAAAAGGAGAAGCGAAGGGCACGAGCGTGCACAGCTTCAATCGGCGCTCTGCGAACCATCGACTTCAAAGGCAAAAATACCCCAAACCTTCCGGCAAGAACCACAACACCGGGTGCCTAAAGGTATTTGTTACCCGAGGACACCAAGTTTATGGAAATCGGACCACCGCCTGTCCTTGTTCGGCCAATTCCTCCTACCGACGGGCCGGCGCCCCAGTAACCCTAACGAGGAATACGGCACCTGCTGCAAACCAGCGGCGGGGGCGGAGCCCTCCCCAAGGCACCGAGACCTAAGATGGATTACGTCGAAGTGGCAGGTGAGGACATCTCAGCGGAAGAGTGTACAGCAGAGGCCGGCTGGCTCGTGAGCCACCGACAACGGGGCACACGAGCCCTCAACAAGCTAGGCCTCACGGCGACGAGCACAGCCAAAAATGACGCAGGTGACCGGACAGGAAACCGAAAACCACGTCAGAGACACAGGAAACAGCTTCAGCAACCAGCCCTCCCACGCGAGGACATAAAAATCATCCTGCGGCCACGAGAGGGCCTCGATGTTACCAAGGTGAGCTCCGCGAGGCTACGCGACGGCGTATTTTGCGCCATCGGCCTCAAAGAGCAGGAAGCCGAGGGAGACCTGCTACGGGTCAACCCGGAGAAGAAGAACATCGTGACAAGCACACCAAGCATGGACCGAGCCAAGAAATATAACTCCATTTCAAAAATCTGCATCGCAGACAAGACCTATGAAGTCACCGCGTACGCGGCGCCTCCAGAGGATACTGCTAAGGGGGTTATACATAATATCCCAGATTATGACACCGCGGAGGACATTACGCGCAGCCTTGTCTACAACAAGAACCCTACCATCCTTCAGGCACAAAGGATGGGAAAAACCAACTCAGCGGTCATCGTCTTCGAGGGCAACAAAGTGCCCTATAATGTATATTACCGTGGGGCGGAGTACCGGTGTTTTTTACATAAAAAAAAGCACGAAGTGTGCTCCACTTGCGGAAAAGTGGGACACCGCATGGACGTGTGCCCGACACCCGAAGACAAAATATGCCGCTCTTGCGGTACAAAGAATCCACGAGAAGGGCATAAATGTGACCCCAAATGTGCCCTGTGTTGTGGGGATCACCCCACTGGAGACAAAACTGTAAGAACCGGTTCCAAACGCCGTACCTACTACGAAAGAGACAGCGAGAAAAAGAACGTCAGAATGGCGCCGGCCAATATGGCGGGCACCGAAACGCAGAGTCGACGTCCGTTCTGGGTGGCGGCGAGGGCGGCGGGAGAACGAAAGAAAGGGGGACGAGAGATCGTTCGGGCTCTTTCCCACGTCTACCCCACCGCGGATCAGAGAGCGACAACGACGCGGGACCGCGGCAGCAGCGCCGGTCAAGATCTAAGTCAAGATGCCGGAGCCCTAACACCCAAGGCCGACATCGGTCAAGATCGACATCCCGAGGCCGCCGACACGAGACTCCGGGAGGAACCAAGCAGAACAAGGTGAGCTGGGCTAGCACGGTCTCCCACAACTCGGCTCCGCAGAATACAAAGAAAAAGGTTAGCAACCAAACTAGCGCGCAACAGGCAGACAGGCAGTAGCAGGGGGAACTCACCAAAATCAAGCAAATGCTAGAGATGGTAGTCGCCGAGAATACAAAGCTAAAGGCTGAAGTGGCAAAACTAAGAGGAAGCGAAAACGCCGACAAAGTAGTCCCCGAAACGCAGGGTCCCTCGAAATTGCAGGCCCCAGCGCCAGACCAGGGCAAGGCAAACACACTACGGCCCACACAGGTCCTGCTAGCTGAGGACTCGTCTAGTGACGAGATGGAGAACTCGGAGCCCGAGTTTCCTCCCCCGAAGCGTAAAGCGAATGACACAACAACAAAAAACGTCTCAAGGCTCCCAAAGAGAGCAAAAAAAAAAAGGACGCAGAGACACTGCAACATTTCGGGGAGAAGCTGAGCGAAATGCTCACCACAAAATTCGAAGCCATGCTGGCGAAATTTGCCGAGAGCATAGGCACGCAAATCGCAGCACTTAACGCTAGGGTAACGGCGATTGAGGCCACCCAAGGGCCACCTCACCGCGCTTCACCGGCGGGGGAGGAGGAGCGGGTCCGTTAAAATCCACTAAGCCTTACGCTAGACCCGTATCATTGGAAAGCGCTAGAACAAGTCTAGAAAGTACACAGCTTAAGGTTTATGGCACCGAATAATCACAAATACATAATTTGGCAGTGGAATTGCCGCGGGTACCGCCGTAAAAGGGGGAACCTACAGCAATTCATAGGCAATAAAATAGCAGGGGAGGCGCCAGACGTCATATGCCTGCAAGAAACGGGAGCCTTGGCTAAACTTTCGGGGTACAAACCGTACTACAGTGAGGATGAACCGGCCTCGGACGATAAAAGTATAACAGTAGCGACCCTCGTTAGACCGGACGATAAAAGTATAACAGTAGCGACCCTCGTTAGACGTAATCTACCGGTTATGCGGCGCGATACCGGCGTAACGACCGTGGACCACGTCCTCGTGGAGATCATCTCGAGCCAAAAAAGGGGCATGGGAAGCCTATTTGTTTTAAACGTATACAGCAATCCACGCAAGCAACATAGATTCGCGAACCTGTTTCGCAAGACATTGGACATTGCAAAACGCCAAACACTAGTGATAGTAGGTGATTTCAACGCACACCACCCAGCCTGGGGATACAAGCGGGAAATGATCAAAGGGCGGAATCTCTGGCTGGATGCCCAGCAGGCAGGGCTGTCTCTGATCACCGACCCCGCGTACCCCACTAGGTTGGGAAACAGCGTATGTGCGGACACCACACCGGACCTAACATTCACAAAGAACGCTAAAAAGGAAGCCGAGTGGCTAAACACACAGAAAAATCTAGGAAGTGACCACTATATAGTGGCCACAAAACTAGAAGCAGGCCCCCACAAACCAAAAAAGGGTACGCAGCTTAAGATCATCGAGTGGGACGA